AAAATCACAACTGGCTGTTGACGCCACTAATTATTAACTGTTAAGTCTGCAAAAAATATCCAATAGAAAAATACGTAATCGTAAATTTTCATGTATTTTTAAATATTTGTTTTCATTTGTTTTTAAATAAAAGTTTTTTAAAATTTTCGTTTGTTGCGAGATATTTCGGATAAGAACGCGTACCCCCGTTAAACTGTTTCCGTACCCTTGGGGGTACGCGTACCACATTTTGGGAAACACTGGGTTAGAAGGACAATCATATTTTTTTCTTTTGAAAGTTTTGGATATTTTTCAGGTAATTTTTCAGGTAGGAAATGGCTTTTGAGGCCACATCTGACACAGTTTATGCACCCTATTATATAGAACAATATTTATCCTAGACGTATGAATATCTGATAATTCGATTTGAAGTTTAATTAAAAATTAATCTAAATGTTTACATGAACTATATTTATTGCAATTTTTAGAATAAAGTTATTAATTAATACTCTAAATTGTCTTCCAATTATGATTGAGGTGATGAGAACTGACGTGAACACGTAATATGACAGATATTTTGCCATTGCAACTTTATGTTGTGTTTTCACCTAACTGAAGCGCAAATTGCAATGAAATGGTTTTGGTTAAACGCTGATTGGTTTATTTGTGTAGTTCACTTATACTAAAATTATGCCGTTAGGTAGTGAATGACCTAGAAAACAGCTAAAAGAAAAAAGAAATACCTGGAGGAAAAAAATTCTACCTTGTTTTAAATCAAATATTACTGTAAGATTTTAACTAAGTCAAGTCTAAATTTAACGAAGATAGTCAAGGTTAAGTTGTTAAAGGGATTCTTAAAATAGAAAAGAAGGTAAAGTAAATTGAGAAAACAAAATAGTCAAGAGAAATTTATCTAGAAAAACTTATTTATTATTTTTAACTTTATTTAGGATGATCAGTTGCCCGTCTGGTTGAATTCACAATTGGCTTAAAAAACACGTTTTGAGACAGCAATATTGTCAACAATAAAAAATACGTGGCTTCACATAAATTTCACAATGCTAATTCATGGCGTCATTTTGCTTGTCCATACGTCAGGAAAATCTTCGCCATTGTTTAAACCTGTCATCGCCATTTCCGCAACCTAAATCTACATTTGTGTGGGGTGTTTATTTTTATGTAAAACACTTTTTTTAAAGTCATTGTCTGTATTAAAATGTAATTTGACTTGGGACTGAATATAGTTTTCAGTTTGAAGAATGAAATATGAAAAAGTTATGGAATTATGTAGATTCAAGAAAGAGAGAAGACTATATTATGCACAAATAATATTTTAACCTTTTTTTATATTGTACATGCAAAATGTATAGCATTTATTAATAAAACTATTTCTTTGTAAGCTTCAATTGTTAAAAACTTATCAATGTTGAATCTAATAAGCAAAATACAACGAATTTTCATTATAGTTTAAAAAGTTAATATTGTTCATTTAGTGTTGTGTTATTGGCAAATTTTGATTTCTTACAAGAGACTTACCAAAATTTGGTTTCAAATATTACACAACCAAAAATCTATCGTAATTACGATATCTTCTTAGCTAGCTTCTTAGTTAATAAAGCTAATAATTAGTTATTATTAATAATAATATAGCTTCTTAGTTAATAAAGTTAGCATTGAAACTGAAAAACCCTATGGTATGCGTGGACGATATTTTATTCAAAATTTAGAAGACGATTTCGCGAGTAAATAATTTTTTTTTTATCATTGACCCTCTGACGCAGATGCTACACCGGTGTCCTTTTTAAATATTTTTTGTCTGTCGTTCTAATTAAATCAAATATATAATTTGGTATTTTTTAATTTTTAAAGAACAGTGTAATAGTTACTTAAAAAAATCTGTTGGATTATCGGAATAATTGTACTAAAATATAAAATTCAAAAAAATGTAATTTAAAAAAAAAATGTCATTCATATTCAAAAATTTATTTTTTAAGTTTAAGAAATTTCAACTGTTTTCTTAGATTTTAGTAACTGCAAATAAGTAGAAATTTTTTAAAAAAAATTTTTGTTTGGAAATGAGCAGAGTTTGGAAGATTTTGTTATGAAACACAGGAAGAAGTTTGAAGTTATGAAACACAGAAGAAACCGCTGTTTCATGCTGTGTTTCAAAACTATAAATTATTAAAATACTAAATATATTTTTCACTTATTTTAACATATGTAAATGCAAAATAATAAAAAAAAAGTATGAAAATATGTTTAATAAAAATTCTGCTTCTAAAGTTAAAGAATAATTTTTTTTTTTATCAAAAAATTTTATTATACTAATCTTTTTAGAAAATACAAATTTTGATACATTACTAACTTTTTAAGTGAGCAAAATTTTGAAACTATAATATTTCCCAACATTTTTATTTAATCCACTATAAAAAATTAAATTGAATATGAATTAAATATTAATTTTCTATTATAAAAAAAGTAAAAAAATATTTGCAACTTGAATTTTCACATGCTCGTCATGAAATACTTTTCAGCTTCTTACCTGCTTGCAGACTATCATTTGCATTTTTGTTTTACGGTACATGTATAGAGTTTGCTTTATGCGAGCGTCCTTGAATTCTGTCCACCTGTTTGGTGATAACGCAAATGCGACGTCTTGTGACAAGCCCTTGTAACAGTTGGGCAATAATCTTTTCTACTCGTCATTCTTTTGTTGATTGCAGTCAAGAGAAATAGGAAACGGAATTATCAGCCATTAGAAAATCGATTCTTTAACTGTTATGTAATATGTATACTTCCTCTATACACATCAGAATGAGTCATATTTTAATCATATCGAAATATCCAAATTAATTCAGAAGAAAATTTTTGAAAACTAAAAGGTAAATTCAAGTATAATTTTTTTTTTTTTTTTTTTTTTTTTTTTTTTTTTTTTTTTTTTTTTTTTTTTTTNTTTTTTTTTTTTTTTTTTTGTTAAGTTGGAGAAATAATGAATTACATTTAGTCTGTGTTCGTGCTCATATCTATTAAATAATTACTAGAGCTAAACGCAACATTTATCAGCCCGATGTAAACAAAAGTAAATTTCTGTGATGAACAAAATGGATGGATTTTTTTTAAAATCTTAAATTATTCATATTTTCAGATACATAATTAGTGAAATTTCAATACAATATTAACTTTAAAGAAAACAATTAATTTTAAAAATAAATGTATTTTTATTCTTTGAGTAACTTGCCAGTTGAATTTGTTAAAGTTTTAAAGATAGGCTATTTTAAAAACAATGATTTTAAATATTTTAAAGTTAATAACTGTAATTCTTTAGTTGTAGTAGTTTTATCACAATTTAATGATTCTTGATTTTTGCCCATCTCATTATTTTTACATATTTTTTTCCTTACATTAAATTTGTTGTATGTTTTACTTCGTTCTCAATCTCTTTTTTGTAAATTTCCATTGGAACGATTTCTTTTTATAAAAATTTTTTAAAAACATTCCACTTTTTTTATAATTTTTATTTTATTACTTTTTTTTTAAAATTCTAGATCAGTTTCTTCTCTGATCAATTTCTAAACGTGTTATACTTAATTTAAATAATGGCTCCATCAATTTTAAATTTTAATCATAATTAACTTCATCAATTAGCAGTTGATTAGTGGAATGCATTGAGCTTAAAAGCACAGGTGCAAGTAACGGTTATACTGCGCTAAACACTTAACGTGATAAACTTACTCCATTAAATCAAACAAAATGCGTGGCGACGTTTCGAGTATCCGCAAAAGAAATAGTAAGTAATTGCCAGAAGCAAGAAGGGGAGTTATAAGGGAATCGTAAATCTCGTATCACCCCTTGTAATCACCGTATCACTTTCATGTGAAATCACAAAATTTTGTGAATTTTAGCCAGTAATATTAGTAATTAACACTCGTTTATTTTTTATATATTCTTCAATATTTCTAACCAAATAGTAGAAATTGGACTATCTTCTAAATTTTGAGTACTATCCCCATCGTTTCGTTCACTGTAATTTTTGAAGTAAAAATAAGTTTATCACCAAAAATTTAGATAGATTTGAACAAATTTTGTATCGTGTCTTTGGCTTTGACTGAAAGGTTTTAAAATGGGGGACATATTTAAAGGGTAATTGATGTCTACATAAATTCAATTCTTGTGAATAATTTTTTGAAGAAAAAAAAATTACATTTGTTATTAAAATTTAAAGCTTTGAATTTTGTGGGCTTAATGCATCCCAAATTTTACTTTATTTTCTTTTCAAAACATTTTAAAGATTCATTTTAACAAATTAATTAAAATTAATACAAACGTGTAGTTTGAGCAGCGATTGCTCGGGGGATAGAACGTTCGCCTTTCAATGCGGCGAACCGGGTTCGAATCCCAGTCGATACAAATTCCGCATCCGCCCTGCACCGACCACAGTGCTGACGTGAAATATCCTCAGTGGTAGACGGATCATGGATTAGAGTCCACTTACCGCCAGGCTAACCGTGGGAGGTTCCCGTGGTCTTCCTCTCCATGTAACGCAAATAGAGGTTAGGTCCATCAAAAAATCCACCACGAAGGAAAATTTCTCCCAATACTCGATCCAGGAGTTCCCTTGTCTTCTGGATTGGGTTCAAAATTACAAGGCTACGGAGTTCAACATCAGTAGTCGTAAAACCCATTAAATTAGGTCGGCTGTTATATGTTATAAAATAAAATAAAAACGAGAGTAGTTTCAAATTTTATATGTTTAAGCTCTAGCGTTCTGTTTCCGCGTTGTCACATGCACATTACAATTCTTTATGTAACAATTATATTTGTAAATAATTTAAAAGTCTTACAGTTACATTTAATTTTAAGCAGTTAATTTGTAACAAAAAATTAATTTTCTTATTAAACTCATCATTTAAAAAGTATTTCAAATGGAGTTTCTAAGTTAAAGTTATTATTGAAAATTAACTTTAAAGTCGTGTCTATTTTTTGTTTAGTGTATATGTCTTATTGTTTTAAATTTTTTTCAGAATTGTGAAAGATGTCCCAATATCCTCCTCCACCCCCATCTTACGGTGCATATGATCAACCTCCTCAACCCGGTTTTGGTTATCCTGCTCAGCCTGGTTACCCCGCACAACCTGGATATCCTGCGCAGCCTGGTTATCCCCCACAACCTGGCTATCCTCCACAGCCTGGTTATCCTGGACAACCAACAGTATGCCAACCTCCGGGAGGATATTATCCTGGGCAACCAGGCACTCAGACTATGTGAGTAATGTTTCGTTTACCTCCGACTATGTGAGTTCGTTCACCAGGAGTTGGCACTTGGTTCCATCTTCATGACGTGATAATCCGACGATACTATTTCGCTATTTTTGGGAGAAGGATGTGAACAATTCTGAACAAGGTTACTATTTGGCGATCGTACGACAAAAATATTTTTTAGCATTTAATATTTCATAAATTTGATATTTCTCTCTTTTGAGTGAATAGTTCGCCCTTTTTGAGACATTTTGCTGGGAAAACAGCAGTTTTTAAATTAAAAATATATTTAATTAGCTAGAGTAATGAAAGGTATAATAGCAGATGATAAAGCGAAGTAAGTGACTGAAAAAGAATTCGCTGTTTGCTTTTGACGCGCAATAAGGGTTGTCTCATTTTCAAGCGTGGAGATGTTTCTCCTCTTACTTCCGAGCTGAAATGAACTCTGCGTCCGAGGAAGTGGAACCAAGTGCCAACTCCTGGTGAACGAACTATGCCTTAAAATTTCTTTGTTTGTTTTTGTTATTGAAGTAATCATGAAACTAAAAAGCACTGGGTGTTTCATAATGGCCAGTATTTATATATATTTTAGAATTCTGGAATAAATTAATGAAAAAGAACGCGGTGATTTAAGGGTCACAAATTAATATTTAAGTGACAACTAATGAAAAGTTACGAAACTCGGATCATTATTAAAGTTGAAAGAGTAAAGGAGTGTTTAAAAAAATGAACAATTAAAATAATTAAAAGGATTCAATTAGTTAGTAATAAGGATTTAAAAAGAAATTGTTAGAATCAAAAGAGCAAATGGTTAAAATAATTTAAATAAATTTATTTGAGATGTAGTTAAAGTGTCCTCATCAGCAGCAAAAAGGGGATTATATACCCTCTGTGTTAAACCACGGAAATTTATTTAAACGGTATTTCCTTATTTAATAATTAACTAATTAATGTTCTTGGATATTTTTCATTTCATTATATTAATTGAAACTTGTTCGAATTAACTTGCTAGCCACATTTTGAGTATTAAGGTCCTAGGCGTTTTAAAACTCTCTTCAAGTTATCATAGTTTCGAAAATGTTCTTAAAATGCTTACGAGCTTTAATTTTAAAATTCGATAAACTAGTTCAATAAAACACATCTTGAATATAATAAAGCAAAAAATATTTTAAAATACTCAATAGTCACAACACAAATATTGCTTTCATACTATTGTCCATCAGGGATTGCAAGCCCGTAAAAGATAGGTTTCTTTCAACCCAAGTAAAAGAAATAGGAAAAACTCTTACAAAAAAAAAAAAAAAAAAGAACGAAAATCGCATTCTGGTTTTTGCAATCAAATCCTGTTAAGTATGAATATTCAAAGCAACTCTGAGAAAATGTGGAGTATAAGAAATAAACCTTTCCTTAATAGATATTTTTAATAAAGATTTTATTTTTACTTACTCATAAAATCACTGGCTAGTTTTTGCAGGTTATGAAAAAAAAAAAGAAAAGAAAAAATCACGAATGTTAAAATGTAAATTTTTAGTCACTCATTTGGTTCCTTTAATTTCATCCTTTTTTCAATATCTTCTCGTGACTTGAAAAAATAGATAACTATAATAGATAAAAAATATATAGGTTAATATGGGGAAAAAAGAATTTCTTTTCTGAAGAAGACCATAAAAGGAATTTTCTACAGAGAGCGTTTCAAGCTGACTTTCAAGTTTTTTTTCATTCCATTTTTATTCTCTCTGATTTCTTACATGCCGTCTTTCCGATTCGTTGAACCCCAAATGTGCGAATGTTTCATTTTCGCTAGCAGTCTAAAAACATCTACTAATACTTAGATAATTATTATTAGCATTTACTTTTTTATGGCGCTATGTTTTGTTTAAAGCTCCATGAAAGATGTTCGCTAGTTTGTGTCAATATTTACGTGCTATTGAAATATATTAATAAAATGTGTAAGTTATCTCGGTGAACTTAAATAATAAAAACGCGTATTTTAATTTTATTTAAATCATCAATATCTGTTTTGCGTTATTCATATTTAAGTTTACGTGGTGGGATTTATTTTTATGGCCTTGTGGTTTTAATTTCGAATAAAAGAACTAACGTGCTATTGAAATATATTAATAAAATGTATCTCACCTTTTTTCTGAGCATTGTAAGTTATCTCGGTGAACTTAAATTATAAAAACGCTTATATTAATTTTATTTAAATCATCAATATCTGTTTTGCGTAATTCATATTTAAGTTTATGTGGTGGGATTTATTTTTATGACCTTGTGGTTTTAATTTCGAATTAAGGAACTAACGTGCTATTGAAATATATTAATAAAATGTATCTCACCTTTTTTCTGAGCATTGTAAGTTATCTCGGCGAACTTAAATAATAAAAACGCGTATATTAATTTTATTTAAATCATCAATATCTGTTTTTCGTAATTCATATTTTAGTTTATGTGGTGGGATTTATTTTTTTTGGCCTTGTGGTTTTAATTTTGAATAAGAGAACGAGGCAAATGTCGCATGACATTAAATCTACCAAATCGCTAAAAATGTAATAAAAAGAAGTTAAACATTTAAAAAAAAAGAAGAAAAAAGGAGGCATTCCTTTGTATGCCATATGAATTAAAACTTCCTGAAATAACTCTTAATAAAGCCTATTCATTAAAAGTGAAGGGATAACTTTTTATTTGTCGCATTTTTTTCTAAACTCGCTTTTGTAAAGACTTTCCATGTTTTGATACATTGTGTCTAAACATGCCTTCGGGTATATTTTTAAGGAAAGGATAATTTGAGTAGTCTGAGAGAATAATACGAAAATCTTCATGAAACAAATGCGTTTTCAGATAAAAATTCAACTTGTCAACTGTTAAACTAAACAATTCCAAATACAGATGATGGTGACAGAATACAGAAAAATGTAACGAATGTTCAGCTGAACTTTTTTTTTATCTTTATAGTTGCAAAGCTTATCAAATTTTTAACGTCTATGACATCGTTTTAGTTTTGTAATTGTTAAAAAAAATGTCTTTTACTGGCAATAATTAATGTTTTCTACTTTTTATCAGTATTACATGACAGTTTTCACCAAGGTTATAAGGTTTTTATCACCTTTCTGTTACTGTTAAAATAGCGAAACTAATTATTTTTATTATCTGTTCTCGTTTACATCAGTACCTTTTTTTTCTTCATGATTTCTTTATCGAAAAAAAAAAAATGGAAGTTTATGAAGTTGTATGTAATATCTATACACATATTATCAGTATCTCCTACCTAAGTCACGTGATGTTTTCAATCCCTTTTTTTTCTTTTCTTCTTTCTTTCCATCTATCTACATTGTGTACATCGCTCAGCCTCAGTAACAAGCATTTTATTTAAAGGCTTATTATTTCTAAACCCTTTTTTCCTGGAAAGTTTATCTTAACATAAAAGTCATGTTGAGCCTTGGTTACTTTTACGCGCTATTTTTCCTACTCAATTTTTCGACCATTGTCTAATTTTTTAAAAAAAAATTATTTTTATTTTGAATACATATTATATCATAAAATCTTCAATTTCTTACTCTTTATAAACCAAGACATCGCTTTTTTTAAGTCTAAGTGTTATGTGTTTCTTCGCAAAGATATGTGAGGAAATTTTTAAAATTTTACTTTTTTAACTATATTGATCAAAACTCTATAGTATATGCACTTTCTTTTAATATAATAGTTCAAAACATAGTAGATAGCCTTCTACATAAAATCCTCAACGCATTTTTTGTTTCGGGCTATAGAAATTTTTTTACAGTATTCAACCTATCTTCCAAAAAAATGCCTTATTTTCACCTAAAAATGATCATTTAAAGAAAAAAAATTATTTTACTAATTTTAGAAGTTTTTACGCATAATAAAAAAAATTCGACTAGTGTTTCAAAATTTCGTATTAATATTTACAAAGAAAGTTGTCGGATACCTTAAAAAAATGTTAATGTTTATTTAGATCTGAGAGACAAAACGATAAACATAGCTGAAAATTTGACGTAACAAAGTGATTATTGGTAAATACACATCATTACTAATATCGTTTTCTAATCTTCAATTTAGCAAAGTTTTCAATAGTTTATTATGTTTGCCTCAAATTTATGTAATGAATTTACATTATTACATTGGTGTGCCGTTTATTTCATACTTTTATTGATAATAAATTGTTTTCCAAAAAGAGGGTGCTATACGAATGAACGGATATAAACTCGTATGTTTCGTGATAAGGATATTGTTATCTTTTTTTTTCAATGTTTCGATTATCGATATTTTCCTATCTATTCAATTCTTACTGAATTTCAGTGCAATTTTGAAAGTTGAGTTATATTTTACAAATTTGTTTCGTTAAACAGAATTGTTGTTTCAAAACCGTGGAAGTAAAATTGATTACCTCTAATTACGAAATAGATTTTTTTTTAAAAATCTTATCTTTTATTTTTTATTCATTTTTATAGCTTTATTAAATCATCAAAATCGTGAGAAAAATTTTATTTTTCAGTCTTATTTGTAAACGCATTTTAAAATGAGCATTTACGCTTTGAACATTGATAAATCGTTTAATTTTTTCTTTTCTATATGAACTATTTATTGCTTTGTTAAACTTATTGAGCGGAGAACTATTCTCAGTTACCACGAATTAATTTATTTTTGAAAGCCAGTTATACTGAAGTTTCAATCAAATTAAACTGAAAACTATTTAACTATAGTTTGTCTAAAAATAAGAACTCCCCCAGGCGTTCGTCTGGACCTGTGGCGGTGACTATGTTAACGAGGTATGACTATTTCAAGTAGGAGTGCGGGGTCACTGTTTTGGAGTGGCTTCAGCTTGAAACGGCGAGAGAAATGGAATCTCTTTCTTCAGTCTATTGTGTTAGTCCTAGAATAAGCTACCCTCCCTAAAATACGCCATTGTTTCCATAGCACCAGACGTCCTCAGACTTAGTGGAGGGAGGAGTTCTTAGCTTAGACAAATTGTAAAAAAAATGGGAAGAGTACAGAGTCTTATAAGTAGTTTTCAGATATAATTTATAATAACAAAACAAATCTTTCTATAAAAAAAAAATTCTTTGGCTATTAATTTTTCCGATAAAAAACTCTAATTTTACTGGTTTGTAAATGGTTTTAAGCATATGTGAAACTGACCCTTCTTTTACTGAAATACTTCGCATCTTTTATCAAAATTTTATTTTTGAAATTTTGTCGTCCGTGTGTCTCACTTAAATTGATAAATATAGCCATTTTTATGTTCTTTGTTACTCTTCATTTCATTCGTGTTTTATGCTACGATGGATATTAAGAATACTTCAGTAAGTGGTTACAATTTGTTTAACTTTTATTATGCATTAATTTTGTTTTCACGCTTAAAATTGAACCAAAATTAAGAGATGTCATATAATGTTAAAGTATAAAATGAACTTTGAATTCATATTTTCAATGCAAAATATGCTAAAATTAGATTTAAAAATTGCAATTAAACGCTTAATAGAACTGTATTAATTTGTAGGCTTTAAAAAGTTCGTACTTGAAATTTTTACTAACTAATGCCGTTTTATTTTTTAACTGATTCAAGTCTTGTCATTATTTTTAACTAATGTTGTGGCATTATTTTTTACTCTTATCATATTATACTTTTTAATAAACTAATCTCACAGCATTATTTTTTTAACTACATTTAATGTAGGCTTAAAAATATTCCAAATAATTTTTCACATTAATATTTTTATTGCTCTTAGTAATATTGCATGTTTGGTGGTTTGCAGAATAAAAACTAATCTATTTACTTATTTCTAAACTATCCTCTCTCCTTTCTTATTACCCCTTCCTCTCTGCTTCCTAATATTTTTCAGAATTGTGCATGAGAAGAAAGATGATGATTGCGCCAAAGACTGCTGCATCTGTGCTCTTTGTGCAGCATTGTGCTTTTGCTGTTGTACCGATTAAATGTAATCGGTATCGTAGAACAAATATGAAGAGAAATTTGCTACAAGAATGCATTGCTTTGTACTACCATTAACTTTTTGTACCTAAAAACTTAACTGAAGGGATTATTTGAACTATTGCATGCCAGAGGTGGTGGATTTTTATTACCATTCTATTAGTTTTATCCTATTAAATTTTCTCATATCTAAATGATTAATATTCTTATTTCTTTTGCCACCTATTAAAAATCTTATCAATTTTTTTGTTGTTAATTATATGTTTTATGACTTGTATAATTCAAAATAACTTATTGTGCTAATTTTTTAGTGTTCTAAATGTGTAGCAATTAATGTGGAAATCTAGTCCTTTTTTTCATTCTTTAGTGTTTTATAAGTATATTAAAAAACGCCGACATTCTCGTAAAGATGTTTCGTTATTGTGTATAATATATTGTAATTTTTGTGAAGTTTTTTTAAAAAAAAAAAAACGTTTTATGGAAGTTTAATTAATTTTTGCATTGTTCTAGAGATATGCATGTAATTTTAGAGCATTATTTGTGGCAACTATGGCGCTGCGTAATTCTTTAGAACAAAATATTGTTAGCTGCTTTATTTTTGGTTGAATACTTAATTAGCCTAAAGATTTTTTAATTAAAATTTTAAAAAGAAATATTTTTTTTTTTAAATTTGAATGTGGAAAATATTATGGTCGTATAACTAAAATTTTGTACACTTATAATTAAAATTTAGGCTATCTGAAATATTGTATTTTGAAAGGCAATATTTTTTCTAATAAAAAGCTAGTGAACGATACTTCAGGCACATTGTTATTTTTATTACTGAAATATGATTTGCTTGCATATTTAAAAAAAAAAAAATTTTTATATTTAGTGTAGATAGAAAATTCTGTAAATATTATTGTTCACATTTTTGATTGTGTCCTAATTTTTATAAATAAATAAAAACATATATTTTTATTTGACTGTGTTTATTTCATATATAAAAATAATTTATTGCAAATATCATTTAAATTAAAAATCATTTGTGTAAGTTTATTTAACTATTATTCACTATTTACTACTTCATTATGCACTATTTACTACTTTATTATTCACTTTTTACTACTTGTTTGCTACTTTCAATAAGTTTTAATTATTTGTCTAGTATGAAATGAAATTATTACAAAAGAAAACTTTTGGACAGAACAACCTTCGATTTTAATAATAGAATTAACTGGCATGATACTGTTAGTAATTCTACTAATTTTAGTTTTGCAATTTGAAAATTGTCCAAGTTACGGACATTTGAAAAACTAAAATTTTCATAAAAAAACGACAAACTAGCATACATATAAATGGTTGTAACTTTTTGTTCTAATAGTAGCAGGAGAAAATTCTGAACATAATTGCAAAGTTAAGAACTATTGACCTTTCAATTGATATATGACCTTCAGAGGCTACGTCAAACTTTTAAAGTGACCTGATTTGACATGTGACCTGAAATATCTCTAAGCATGCAATCTGAAAAAATGACGAATTTTTTTTTTATTGCTACATTCTTCTACACTGGTACAAATTAGTAGATTGGTGTCTCAACAGGAAGGGTATAAAGAATTAACAAAAGTGGTATGCAGTACAACTGTATCTTTTTACATCTGAGACATTTCACATGATTACATGTAAAAATAGTATGTAAAAAACTTACACTTCTTAAACCAATATGAATTTTTTTACTAAATACTAATATCATTCATATCAAAAATAATGTTTATGCAATACTTTTGGTTTCTAAATACACAAAGTAACAAATTTATTTTTAGAAAGTATATTTTACTTTTAATATTGAAAAAATGGTTTACCTTCGGATATACCTAAAGTACGTGAACTAGTTTTATGACATGAAGAGCACTCATTTCATAGAAAATATTTTATAAAAATGAAAAAAGAAATGACTATTAAGTTATGATAAAAAGTGTATAAACAGGAGTTGAAATTAATAAAGCATATAAACATTATAAAATTTTATTAAATAGTTACGGAATGCCGCTATAATATCTTTGTGTTTATTATTTTCAATTCAGTCTGCTATATGAAATAATTCCGACCTGTTTTTGTTTGATGGGGAGGAAATGGGGGGAGAAAAGAACAAGGAAAAAAAACAATGCAATTGCTGGTCTGAAAACAGAACAGATACAGAAGAAAAACAGATACAGAAGAATAATTTTCATCAAAATCACATGTCCTTATACTTTTATTATTACCAAGGCCTTCTTTCTGATTTGACAGAAAGCATGACTGCTGATTTGCAGTGATAGAATGTGGTAAAAGAATTCTCATTTTTTGCTTCAAACGTTATATGGAAATCTTCTACATTGTTATTAACTGTCATAAGTGTTGTGCGGTCAAACATATAGCCCGTAATTTATAAATCTCGTCTATTCCATCTGAGAGGAATAAGTCATTGATTCGTTTTAATATGCTCCAGGACAATAATCTCAACTGAAAAAAAATGCATTCTCGAAGAGGTGGATTACAAAATATTTTTAATGGGTTGTCTTTGTATGTTCTACATCGTAATTCTTCACTAAGTTAAATGCTGTAATCTGCAGCTAGCTTGTATTAGCTTCCCGTTTTCATAAACTAAACAGACTCAATGTGTTCCTCTCGCACAAGCCGGCAAGCAATTTTTCTAACGCAAATCACAGAACTTGGAAATTCCTATTCAGACATGGGGATTTTCTTGTTTAAACCCTTAGAATATCTCCCGCAGATTTCCCGAAACCAGACGTTTTTTTTTCCAATCCTGATTAAATTTTCGGGATAAAATCTTTTTTTCCTCTCAAATAATGGCTCACTTCATCACTGTTGTATGCAATAATGTTTTCAATTTTGCTGCCAATAAGAGTTTTTCCAGGTCTAGGATTTGTACTTTCAAGCAGTTTAGAAAGACTTCATATTAAATATTGCATTACATTTTTCTTGAATTTTACGATTGCTCCAGGTTTTAGGTAATCTTTTTAGTATTAGGCTGCTTGAATCTGTTTTTTGAAACTTTTCTTTCAGTTGTGAAATCATAATAGATTCATTAGACATTGTTAACAGTTCTTGCTTTTTAGATCACTAATTTTCTTTTAAAATGTAGCCAATTTTAAATTTTTTTCACTTTATTGCCTAAAAACTAATGATTTATTTTTACAGTAGATTCTCCTAAAAAACGTAATGAATTGTTCAAACTTCCTAAGTTAGCGTCTTTATCACTACTTATTTCCCTCTGAACATTCACTTCCACTATTTGTTTTTCCACTATTTATTTATGACTGAGAGACCTGGCAATAATAATCGTCAAGCAGAACATTTTTTTAAAATTTTTTTTACAAAGATAAATTTTGACATTGTTTAATCATTCCAAGGTAGTACTTCACTCAAATTCTTTTTGTCTTAAGTGTGGTAATTTTTACCCATATGATAAACACAAAAAATTTAACTTTCAAAATCCATTTTGAGAGATGAAACCTGGCAGAAATTGATTAAATTTTCTTAAGCAGTAAAATGAACCTTATGTTCGCAAACTCGTAAACAAAATGATAGAAATCTAAAATCTTTCTTATTGGTTACAAAATAATAAATGAATAAAAAATAAACCAGCAAAAACACAGAAAAAGAAACTGCCGGAACTAAAGTGTCAGGATACGCTTTCATTTTAAATTCTAACATCTGCTTCAGCTCTCACAGCTGTTGATAATTTTATTTAATTAAAATTCACTTTTTTAGGTATATTTTTTTTCCTGCAAAGTATCAGTTTAATTCATTTAGTGCATTTCTTTTGTTTTTATTCAAAATTGATTCGATTACTTGCTTTTATTTAATGGATTAAATATTGTTGCTTTGAAACATTTATAAATTTGTTATCAAGCTAGTAACAATTAATTACTCCCAGTAACTTAGGACTATAATGCTATTTAATTTTCCATTAAACTAAAAGAAAACGAAAAATTCAGTATTTTTTTATGTTTTTGATTTTAATTCCCAAAATTTTGATAAAACAATGATTTGAAAAATAAGTAAATTAATAACACATAAAAATAAAAAGTTTTAAAAAGCGGGATGATTTTTTTTATTTAAAGGATTTATTATAAGCATGTTGATTAAATATTGTGATATGGTAAAATCTGTCTTTAGCATAATTGTGTCAAATCCGTTGATTTGCTACAAAACATGTGTATTGGTCTATGTTCAAATTCAATATAATCACTAACTCAACAATCAGCATCAAGGCAGATTTAGTGGCTCAGTGATTTTTTATCAGTAGTTCAGAAAATCAGTCATCAGTCATAACAAAAACAATTATTTAATAACGAAAAAGAATGAATACAACATCTTAACACTTCAGTGTCTGCCAGCTCTCTTCAGTTGTCGCGCTTACAACGCCCTCTCAATGATAGGTTTTTACCATATATTATATTGATAAATATTAAAATCAAATTTCTTCTGCCAGGAAAATAAATATTTGTTACATGCATTGAACAGCATAATACTTTTAATTATTGAGTATTTCACTTTTGTTAATTCTTTATACCCTTCCGGTTGAGACTCCAGGCCACAAATTTGAACATGTGCTGAAGAATGTTACAGTAAAAAAACATTTTCTTTTTAGTAATTTTTTGAGACCACATGTTTAGAAATATTTCAGGTCACAATCAACGTTTGACTTAGTCTCTGTATCGATTTTAGAGATTCATTTGTACTGTAGCAACTCATTTAGCGATTGAAAGGTCTAGTTCTTAACTTTGCAATGGTGTTTGAAATTTTCTTCTGCTACAGTTAGAAAAATAGTTCGAAGAATAGTTAAACGGAATTCAATCGGCGAAATTATCAGGTTATTTTGCCATCCCATCCCATTCTTTATCTATAGGGTTTTCCTTAATCAACGGCCTTAGATATATTAATATATATTTTACTTAGATATATATACACCGAAGAGCCATTACATTATGACAACCCTGTTAATAACATGTAGGACCACCTTTAGCCCTCAAAACTGATAGCACCCGCCGTGGCATTGATTCCACAAGGTGCTGATAGGTAGTCTGAAGTATCTGGTACCAAGCTCTCACCAACTGGTTATGCAGTTCCCTCACATTGCGAAGGGGTAGCGTGGCAGCACGAATTTGGTTTTCGAAGTAGGACCACAAATGCTCTATTGGATTAAGGTCAGGTGAATTTGGGGGTCACTGGAATGTCCCTCGACGATTCGACCCTTATGACATGGGGCATTATCCTGTTGGTAAACATCATCCCCCGCAGGAAAAACTATACCCATGAATGGGTGAACTTGGTCTGGAAATATGTTCAAGTAGCTTACAGACGTCAGGGATTGTTCTATGAGGATTATGGGTCCTAATGTGCCCCATGAAAACATTGTTCCTGGGTGAGAAACGATGAAAACCTGGGCGAGCCCATTGTTATAGATGGAGAAACACCTTCAAGTTACACCCTCCAATCAGACTTATTATATTTTCTTACTCTATAGTGATTCATCATTCTTTTAGTTTTATTATTAAACTGAATGAGGTAATTCAGTGAACCATTTAAATATCATCGGTGGTCCACACGTTGAAGGTCTCTACCAGAGTGTTCCCTACGCTGCTTAAAGGACACTATACCACAGAAGAAACCCTTCATTGAAATTGTTTTTTACATAAGTAATATAAAGTATAGAAAAAGTGAGTGAAAAAAAATGCAAATAGGTTATTGAAGCATTACTTAGGATTAAGCAGTACGGAGGTTATTCAGCAATAATTGCATTTTGATATTTTTAAGTACAGTA